CACTTTAAATAAGTTGTCCTCAGTTAATGATATCGACTTTTTTCACGATCCCCTAAATTCAATAATAAATAAAATTAGATCTTAAGTCCTAATATTTGTTCAGAGCCCCAGTGCCATGTAATTGGAATTTTTATTCTGTATGGTTTCTGGTTAAATAAATAAATAATTTGCACAAAGGTATAGTTATGTAATTAAGGTTGGTCTTTCCGTCAGAATGTTTGCAATTTTTTTGCTACATTTCGTACAACATTCAAATTTATTTATAGTACCATTGAATGTAGTACGTTCCAGAATTAGGAGTAATAAACCACCCGGCCTACGAAAGAGTATAATTATTTTTACATACAAGTAGCGGATAACAAATATTGTCCACCAAACATAAGGTACCTATTTGAAGTGAGAAATTAAAAGTGTGCAGCATCCAATGTATGGGGATGGTACCGATTTCGGAAATACATGCTGGGGACATGAGCAGTCATAGGCGTGCGCTGGTATATTTTCGTTATTTCTTAATTCTTTATATAATTACTGCGATTTACAATATATTGTATACTAGTCCAGTCAATCTATTCCGTTTCCCCATAAAAACCTTCATATAAAATTTCTGTCAATCAAAAAATAACTGAGTAGATATTCTGCTGATTAATATACCAAAAAATGGATCTCCGAAAATGACCGCTAATATTGTAAATTGTTTAAAACGATTGAAAATTCACAACACAATGCTTCGAACACTGATAGTTGCACTTTAGTTCGAGGTAAATACCATTTTGTAGAGAAATTAATTGTTTTTAAATTTGATGTGGGAATCTGTCATACATCCCTCTTTTTATGTTAAAAATTGTGGAAACTCCATTAGTTTCCAACCCCGATTACACCATAAAGCCATTACACCATAAAGTTGATTTTGGAGTCCTTAAAATACCACCAAACCCCATAAGTGAACCGCCGTGTCTGTCGCCTCCAAACAATCCTTGAAAGTGATGAAAATTGGACTTTTTTTTAGTTTTTTGTCACTATCTTGAAAACAACGCTATTTCCAAAAGAATGTGAAGATAGACGAATGAAAACGTATATAGGTATGGTGCTGTACCAGTGTCGAAGTTATAATGTTAATTTTGACATTTTAAAAAATAAATCTAATTTTTTATTTTTTTGTGAAATCGAGAAATTTCTCAAAAATATTTAGGTAAAAACATTCATCTCGTGCCTATTTTCATGAAATAAAAAATCATAACGGTGGCGTAAGTACTAATTTTTTTATGTCATCCATTTTTAAATATGTACATTAAAACGATAATATATTTTAGTAGTCAGTAGGTATCTATGTAGTGCAGTAGGCGTAGGGTAACTTATTTTGAGGTAGTTAAACTAAAATTAGTCCCGTTTAGGCAAATGAATACCTAGCATAGCATAAGTTTTTAATTAGGTACCTGATTAGATATCTCTGTATATTAATTCGTCAGAATCTTTAACTGTCTACAATTCTACAAGCAGGGTACAATTTAGACGAATTTTTTGCAAACGCCTGATGAACAGTTGCAAAAAATTTGCTTTAGAATCCCTTCGGGGTCCATGTCTTGGTCCACTCCTGGACTGGTAAGTTATTATTCAGCCAGATTTGAACCTAAAGATGAAAATCATCCTGGTCAGTATTACTTTCCAGCTTTGAGGCCTTTTGTAAAGAAAGTATAATGAAACTATACAGATGAATTGAAGCGATATAGTCAAATAAGAATAAACTTGTAACAAATATAGCAAACGAGCTACTGGATCACTAAACATCTTTCCTTGGGTGATGATAAACAAAATAATGAAAACAGAATTGGAAAATTCGAAACCGTTCGGGAGTTATCTTGTCCACATACAGACGGGCGGACGGACAGAAAGTCCAAAATTCTGGACTCGCTAGGAGCTTTTTAATAATAATTAATCTTTTCAAAGAAAATCTTGTTAAAAAGTCCTAAACGCATGGTAATTGGTACTGAGCTGCCTTTAGAGTCGGTGAAAGCTATGCTAAATTAGAATCCTTATTTTAAATTTTGCTGTACTAGATATTGCTGGTAGAGAACGTCAAGGTCCTTAATCTGGCATTTGTTATATTTCTTCTTGGTCTACAGTATAAACAAAATAATATTTCCTACGTTGAAAAGCCCAGATGTGGCGCCGCATCCAGAAATGGCGTGCATGGCAAAAATAACATTTTTAGAGGTCCTAATTTATGTTGAAATTTTTAAATATCCGTGACTATTTGGTTCTCAATTTCCTGGCCGTAACATAAGTATATAAATTTTGTTTGGCATAGTGACTCTTAAAGAACTAAAAATTTTTTTTATTTCAATCAGAAATTAAAAAATTAAAGTCTTTTTAAAAATAACCAAAATTAATATCATAACTCCGCCACTGGTACGAGAAAATATATAGGTAGGTTTTATAGGAAAATATATACCTATTATATATGCTTTAATTTTTCTATCTTCATATTTTTCCCTAAATAGCTTTGATTTCAAGATACATATTCCCAAAAAACAACATTAGGCATTTTCAACCCTTTGAGGGTTTTTTTAAGGGTTAGGTGTGGGTAGGGTTTGGTGGTATTTTATGGATCTCAAAACATGCGTTTACCCTGATCGAGTTTCAAAGGTGATCTTTCGATCCCGCTTTCCAATAAATCAATTCATGGCGAAAATTTCATTGCATAGTTCTCTATATACAGCAGAGCCTCAGAGGGAATCAAACTCTAACTCGATATCTAGTAATAACCCAGGCGTTAGTGGTGCGGGAACCACAAATTGTTCTTTTACAATAAATGTTAATGTTCCAAATAAATAATTATGGTCAAATTTATGTTGGGGTTTTTAATTAATTGTTTGAAGCTGTCAAATTTGGTGTATAAATAACAGTCCGGTAAGTGTTGCTTAGCGACACTTACGGACTTAAATTGATAGTAATCGAACATCTACGGGTAACGGGACAGTGTATATGTGTAAAATAATTCCTTATTCAAATGTCACATTGAAATGAAATGACTGAACAACGGAGTAGGTACTATACGCGTGTAGGGTAGGGATATCACGTTATACTTCATCATTTTTAAGCTCCACCTTTACTGGCAGTTTCGAATACTTCGTCTCCTACCGCTGCATCCCTTAGAAAGTACTGGAGCAGCTCCCGATTACTCTTAATATTACACAAGGCTGTCTTTTTGTAATGCAGACTTCTGGTATTTAAGGGGGGAATTTCCTTTTGCAATGGTATGTAAATTGCGATAGGGAGTAATTCAGTTGAGTTGAGCGGCATGGGGAAGTTGCTTCCTTCAGTTTAATAAATTAAAACAAAAACTTTTTTACCCTATGGCTGTGTGGCCACTAGATCTTTAGAGAGCTATGGCTCTACCTTTTCTGCGCCACTTGCAAAAAAAGTTATAATGAAAAAAATTTGCCTAAATACTTTCCCACGGTCGCCAGAATTTTCCCACGCTAGGGTACCGCTATACCTACTTATAGGCTCTCAAAAGTTCAAAAATTTGCGAATCTCGTCCTAATTCTTTTCTAAGCTACCGGTCAAGTGAGGATTTTTTACTCAACGAAGCTACTGATAGAAAATATGACCTCTTTGGCTCTACGGCCATAGACGTCACACACTCAAATCGGTCCCAAAAAATTCTATCGTGACGAAATTTGGTACCTGTCAGGGTTTAACTTCACAGGAAACAATTGAACTAGTCTAAACTCGATTAAATTAAATATTCGATGATGCAGGGGCGGACTGACCCGGGGGGGCGGGTGGCGGTTGCCACCTGGCCTGTAGATCATAATGGCCCGTTAGAAATTTATAAGTATGTGCTGTAATTAGTTTCTTGCACTATTAATAAATTATTAACACGTTTCTCTAATTGGGGTTGATGTTAGGCTGTTAAAAAATTCTGTTTTAATTGAAGTGTTTTACAATGAATTTATCATTTTTTGTCGTAGCATGAAAGTGCTGAAATACAATGATAGGCGACGCACCTCGTGTGGATTGTATATTTTGTTACTTTTAATTATCAGCTGCAATTTAAAAAAAAACTGTATGGTAATTGATTTTCGAGAAAGGAGTACTTTAAAATGTTTTTGTGGTGCACCTCAGAGCTAACCCCCCCGCCACCTTCATTACTACACTAATACTTTAATGGCCCGTAAGTACCCAGTCCGCCCCTGTGTATAACCTTCCTTTTTTACTAAAATTCAACTACACCAAAATTTCTCGGGAAAACACTTTTTCTTATTAATTTTGGTTGGGAGCGTAGAATCCAAATCAATTCGTACTTTTTCGATCAGACTTCTCAATCAAAAGTTATAGACTAGAAACCAATTTCGAAAGAAAATTCAAAGGGCTGTAACTTTTGAACTAGTAGCCCAATCTTGGAACTGTTTGAAATTATGGATTCTACAGGCCACATTCTATAAGAAAATTTTTTTTCCGGGTCGATCTGAGACATTTTTTATTCGGGGCTCAAAATTATTAACACGTTTCTCTAATTGGGGTTGATGTTAGGTTGTTAAAAAATTCTGTTTTAATTGAAGTGTTTTACAATGAATTTATCATTTTTTGTCGTAACATGAAAGTGCTGAAATACAATGATAGGCAACGCACCTCGTGTGGATTGTATATTTTGTTACTTTTAACTGTCAGCAGCAATTAAAAAAAAAACAGTATGGTAATTGATTTTCGAGAAAGGACTACTGTTTTTGTGGTGCACCTCAGAACTAACCCCCCCCCGTCACCTTCATTACTACACTAATACTTTAATGGCCCGTAACCTATGCAATTCCACCTGGCCCTTAAGTACCTAGTCCGCCCCTGCGATGATGTGTTTCTATTTGTCTTGCCTTGTAGGGAATCTTTTGCAAAGTAAATAAGTTTGTCCAAATATTTGACTCGGGTTATGTGGGTTCAGTTAGTCGTGGACGGGAAAGTTTACTTGGAGGAATTACTCTTCATGCAAAATAAAAAGAACATCAAACTGAATATTTATTTCTGAAAAACAGTTATCTTTAAGCACTTATACACAAACCAATTACTGGTTAACAAATTTGTTGTACTTTGCAATCTGCTCTAATGGTATGGTTGGTCTGACCGTTTTCAGCATTTCCATTACATCATGTATTTCCATGGGCCGGGCTTGAGCACAACCATACGGCACCTCGCTTAGCTTACAACGTACCAAGTTCTCCATACCCCCAAAGAGGCGCGCCGGAACCAGCGTATTGTCAGCGGTACGCTGCCAAATATTTGTATCCAACAGTTCTGTGATCGGGCAGTTTTTGGCGTTGCGTATGAGATCTGTTAAATCGGAACCCGAGTATCCTTCCGTATTTTCCACGACGATGTCCCATAGGACCAAATTTTCCAATGGTATATCCTCTGTAAGCAGTTTGAGTAGTTCAAGACGTTCGTGGCGGTTCGGAAGCGGTATGTAGATACGTGTTTGGAAACGACGTAAAATTGCAGAGTCCAAGTCCCAGGGGCAGTTCGTGGCACAAATCAGAAACTTGTTCGGGCTGTCCTCAAATTTAGATAATTGTGTCATTAGCTCCGTTTTGAGTCTAAAAATAATAACAAAAATGTGTTATTACCATGCTAAACATTTAATTAAGGGATAAAGATAATTCCAATTTAAACTGTAGAGGTAGGTATCGTAAGCTAAAAGGAGATAGTTTATTGGTATATACATGGGTGCCTACTAATGAAATCATCAATAAAAAACGAAGGCGGATTTGACGCAATCTTTCTGGGAAATGTGACGTGTTTTGTTCCAGAACACTCGGGAACGTTCGAGAACTTTCGTGATCGTGTTTGCTATATAAACAAACCGAATTGTGTTTCAGATAGTTCCAATTTCACCGCCGAAGTAATAAATAGTTATAAATTTATTAATTGTAAATAAATTTAAATTACACAAGTACGTAAAAGGAATTATTTAAGAGGATGTCAGAAGATCAATCTTATAAGATAAAATTTTAAGGGCTCTTCAGAGATTTCCTAAGGAGGATTTTATACACATAAAGGATACATGTTTCACCCCTCGATTTATACATTTTTTGTACCTACCTACGACTCCATTCATTCTCGTTACTGTGTCGCTTTTGGCATATTCCATCGATCTCGTCAAAAAATAAAATCGTACAGTTGGTCTCTTGCCTAACCCGTTCAAATAATCCGCTTAAAGCTCTACAAAGTTTAAATTGAAAGAACAAACTAAGCTATCATCCCTACTTCTCCGTGGCTCCCACGTATGAGGATACAATATCGCTACTACTAATGCTAAAGAAGCTAGCGGATGCCTCGGCCGCAATTGCGTGTGCGATCAGAGTTTTGCCTGTACCGGGAGGTCCAAATAGCAGCAGGGAGTTACTAATCTTGCCTCCGGAGTACAACTGGGGCTGGTGTAAAGGTAACAGAACTAAAGTAGTTAAAGCACGTTTGACTTCAACTAGGCCGGCAATGTCACAAAGGCCTTTTACTTTCGGGGTTGTTTTAACAAATTTGCTACCCTCTACAGAAATTGTTTTGGAAGTATTGCTGAGATGAACAATACTCGAGGAAGGTTTTGATGTTGGCTGCAATCTATTTTCCAATCGACACAAGTAGTTCTCGAGCGTAAGCAACGAACCATGTATATCTTGATCGAAATCTGTCATTGCTTCGTGTGACGTACTCTTTAATTGCAAATTTAGCAATATCCCGATATACTCATTACATTGCTGAATGAGATTCGATACTAACGGGCCGTTGCTCTTTAAGTGGTGGGATTGCACAGCTGTATACAGCTGCTCGAAACTGAAACAGAGACAGTCCTGGAGTTTCGTAGACTATATTCATACGTGAGAACAAACCGTTTTATTGCGTTTTTATATACGTCTAATTCAAAAGAATCGTTTGGACTACGTAAATTATCCATTTTATTATTTTTATTTTAGGCACACCAAACTTGAAAATTTGAATTTTAGAGTAGTAGTGCTGCCACCTCTTGGTTAACATTTGTTTTCACCAACAACATACAGCAATACATAATTGTTATTCCCGCTCTTCCTATTTCATACAAATAATTCTGTGACGGATCGAGTGACCTCTGAGGTGTGAGAAATTAGCTGGATGCGCGATTGCGCTGCCTTTTCGAAAAAAGGGTCTTAATTGTTAACTTTAGATAACGATACTTAACGATAGAACCGAATAACAGAAATAAGAGATCAAGGTAAATTGCCCACCCTGTACATGGAGTGATTCACGCTTACGATTGTGTAATTTTCTACTTTATCGACTCTCGAATGACACTTCATTCAATTCTTTCCATTCTTTTAAATTACAAGTACAACATGGCTGTGTTTTGTACGTGTGGGAAGAGCATTTAGCATTCCCTTTAGTGTTGTCACACCTTTCTTAATTTTATAAATTTTACTGTCGTGCGTGCTGTTTTTTACTCGGCGCATTTCTACACTTTTTAAATTGGTAAGTTTCAATGGCGCATTAGTGAAAAATCTACGTGCCCTTTTGCTGTAATAATTTTGTTTTATCAATACCGGAATTAATGTGATTTTCACTTGTTTTGTACAGACACCGCCTGCTTTTATTATCCTGCCCAAACTTTCTCTGGGTCACACTTCTTGTTAACCTTTAACCTGCTGCATGTCGAAGATAAGGGGAAATCGTAGATCGCTCGCTTTATTGCCCAAATTTGTGTGTGTGTATCGTAAATGGACTGGCGAAACCTGTATACCACCTTCGTAAGAACTACGGAAAAAAATAGCTGTAAACCTCGGTACCGTAATCTGATTTGCACCCGTAAAACTCGGTTCATTGTGGGTTATCTCATCGTTTAAATTTAATTTATGATCCATAAAATTGTTTTATTTTTTTACGTGAATTGATTAAATTTCAATGGAAGTAGTCATCTTCGCGGGTCAGTGGCGTAACCGCAAAGGATACAATAAATCGTGCCCTCAAGTGTTATTAATGCCATTATTTTTAATCAGTCGCATCTTAATCACCTACCAGATGATGCCGTAATGCAACAGCAGCCAGAAACTGCATTGCTTGTAGTAAATTTTTGCCTCATCACCTTAGGGCGTCTATAAATAACCGGGGGAACTTTTCTTCTTTAGTTAGTCTGAGCTATGTTCTAATTTGGTTAGTTTAACCCGAAATGTGCTGGAGTAAGATTTTGCTTTGTGTGCCGAATTTAATTTCAATTTTATTGTAGCGAAAAAATGGGCAAAAAGAAGCGACTTAATCGGTTTATAACAAAATGGATCAAAAGGTTTGTTTGAAGAAGATTGACGTTGTCGTTGTGTTAATTAATTCTACTAAACAATTTCGTTTTGAGTTTATTTAATTTTGTAGCTTTAATCTCGTCGACAATTACTAACCATTACGGTCACACTTCTTAAGAATTCGAAACAGTTTTGGTGGGGAAACAAAACGTGGTCCTTGCTCTCTAAATGCAGACGCAAGGAATTGAAGTAGGTGGAAGTTTGGCAACTTTTTTAATTCAACTGTTCCCTTTTTTGCGAAAGTGCCTATGAATAATTAACCACTTGCGAAAGGTGATCAAGTGCGTGTTGACAAATCATATGTTGGTAATAAATGCGTTTACTTTAATCAAAATAGTATATTAAAGCATAAGTTGCAGAAGGCGCTATATGCTAGAAAGGCCTTCTGCAACATATGCTTTATACTATTTTCTCTGTTGAGCATTTTAATTATATTAAAAAAATTAACAATTCTGACATTTTCTGTAATAAATATTTCAATAAAGAAATTAAGTTGGCAACACCAACAATTTTTCAATAATTAAATTAAGTTGGCTACGCTACATTTTGAAAAAATTCAATTTAACAAGCGCGTCAAATACGAATTTGTGCATATATTTTAGTTTTTTCAATAAGTGAATATGTGCGAAGAAATTCTTCCTTCCACTCCTCCGGAGCTTCGATAGTTAGCAGAAGAGACTGTTCATAATTTGCTACCAGGCAGTAATTTTGTTAGGTTATAAAACCTCATTTGTATTAAATGTGGATTTCTCTAAGTACCTACACTGAATTTTCAATACCTAATAATTTCAATTACCCGTATCGTTAATAACTGTAACATAATGTTATAACAATAAGTGAAATTAGTCCACATTTTACTAAACCGTTGAGATAAGTATTAACGTCTAAATCATCCAGGCAGAACTTTGAATTTAACATTCGCGTATATGATCAGCCTGGATGATTTAGACGAGCATGCCAACCACTGAATACCAAATGTTCTTAAAAATCTGTCAGTTGTGGAAAATAGTTACCAAAAATAGTGTTGGAATGAAACTCATTCCAGCACTATTTTTGATATCGGAATACTGTCATTATAAACGCAAAACAGAGAAAGGAAATTCTACTTCCATTTGATAAAATAGTCTTGAAGAGCAACGCACGTGTTTATTATATGACCAAATGAATACGAAAGTTGCCCAAAATCAACAAGAACTTTCCATGATACCAAATCGGGAGAACGGGAAACGTCCACAGTCATAAACTTCTGCAACGTTTTTGCTGTTTCAAATTTTGGTATTGGCGCTCCAAACACTTTTTGATTCGAATTTCGTCTGGGCAGAGACTGTCTATAATGACCATCCTAACTCTATCCCAAAAATTAGTGTTAATTATGTACTAATTTGTTGCTAATAACAACAATAAATTAATAATATGTAGTTTGACATTAAGCTGGAGCCACACAACAAATTCGTTCTAAATACTTAAAGGCCAAATTTCCAAGTGTGACTATTTCACGAGGAATAACAAAACATTTTAGAACAAATTTATTACCGGATAAAAAATAGAAGCCCTATTATGGATCCTTGAGGTACTCCTCCAATTGAAATCCTATACCCATCGTACCAAAACGAAACACTTACTTAAAACCTGTCTTTTAACATTAACAGCTATATCAACAAATAAATAAAAAATGTACGCTCTAATAAAAATTAATTTAAATACCGTCGGAGCGTAAACATTTCATTATTTCCTTGCGCATTGATAGATTTTGGGGTCAATTAAGTAAAATTGTTATTTAGTGTCGCAAAACTAAAGTTTGCTTATGTCGGAGATCTGTGTATAAACTATTTTGAAGATACGTAATTATTTCTGTAACGTGATTTCTTAGACCTTTGTGCAGCTTCATTACATCCTTCACTAAGCAAGAATACCGGAAATAACTTATAAATTAAACACAAATTACGTCGGTAACAGATTATATCCGACGTAGTTCTATCATTTGAGATAATATGCCGTAATTAATATGTCCACACGCGACTGACATGATTTATTTAAAGAATATTAGTTGGCGTGTTATTAATTAGGATACTTCTTTCGTTATAGCTTCCTATGGTAGGTATTTTCTTCTATTGGAGGTGAATTCTTTATGGGTTAAGTGGAAGAGCAAGGACGAGCTCGTCAAAATTCGTGTTTAATACATTTGTAGCTAATAAAAAATTGTTTGTTGTTTCAATGCATAAATTTGATGTTTTTTGCAATACTCTTATTTTGTATTAGTGTTAAACGGCGCCTAATTATGCATTCAATTAAATCTAATTATTGCGTCTATGGCCATATGTAAAAGAGCTCAAATGTCCCAAGAAAAACCATTGGGTTGACTCATCAAATGCCCTTAGTGTTTACGTCTTCCCCTCACAAGTGAAACAGGTGCCCGTTTAGTTTCACAAGCCCTCTATGCATGCATTGTGAGTGCACACATTTAACACAGTTTTTTGCACCGTCCACAGCATCTCGGAGCACCTTAACGTACTTATTCCAATAAGTTGGTCCTTTTCTGGGTGTATAGCTCGTACTCAAGGTTTGAGGTTTTCTGCTACATTTTGCACGCGCTTGTTTGCTTTTCTGGCATGCTTGGTGTTGATTTTTTGTTTTCACACGACCATTTGACATTCTGTTTTAATGTTGGATGGCTCTAGTGACCTTCCAGATGATCGCTCCACTGTGCTACTATTGGGAGTGACGAGAATACCGACGACTCCAACGGCGGCGCGTCGTCCCTGCTCCCTTCCCCTTGCCACCACCCATTACGTCTCCCAAAACAATCCCATCGTGCAGCACAAATCTAGGAAAAACTGCCAGTCGCGCAGACAGCACTCCCTACGATCTAACCCGAACGCGTCGTTACGTAAACACACCAGTCCGTCGGGAGCTTCTCAAATCGAAACTGTAAAATCGCACAGGCACGTTATAACAAAGTCTCCAAAATATTCCAACTCCGAGTCGAATACTGCGAGATGTAGCGTGTCGAGTGACGATGACATAACTCCTACAAACACCTTGACTAATTCTTCCGAATTTGTACCCGATTCTAAGATGGATCGTTCAGTGGATTCCATCGGCACATGTTCTTTGGATGCTGATGTCTCCATCGATTTATCAGGTAGCTTAATGTGTTGATATAATTTTTTTTGTTTCTGGATTTATGTTTGCATGAGATTATTCCATGTGCTTTGCCTAGTTCAGCAACATTTTGTAAGAATAATGCAGGGTCGCTGATAAGTTTGGCAACGGTCAATTAGCGGGGAAAATATACAAGGTATCGAAAGTGTTACACAAAGGATATGCCCCATAACGTACCGAAGCCGGTGGCGCAGTGGTTGCGTATCAGACTACTACAGATAATTGATTTTCGCAAAATCTTAGAACACTTTTTTATGTAGGGTGTTTGGTTTTTTTATAAGACCCTAAACTACATTTTTTCATACCGACAACCCTATACATATATTTTGACATATATTTTGGAGTTTTTGAAAAGAGCGTCAAATTTTGATGTAGCACTTGTTATATTTATACGAGTATTTATATTAAATATTATTTGCAATAGTGCGTTTTATACATTAAAATATTTTTATTGCAGACATCTAGGTTTCCATGGCAAACAAAAGATGGTAGGATTATTTAAAACGACAATTTCTTGGGTGTCTATTATTTATTTATACAGTGTGTCCCAGATCGCGTGGGATTGCATGGGTAACTTTGTTATTATTAAAGATAGAGAATTGGTTAAATGGGCAATGTTTTGCAGTTTTAGATGCTTATTTAAAATTTCCTTTTGGAAATTCAAAATGTCGCATAGGTTCGACGTAAATTCAAAAAAACTAAAATTGGTAATTTCCTTAAATGTCTTAATAATAATAATAATAATAATAATAATAATCCTTTATTTGCTCAACAGAAAGACATAACCTTTCGAATTTCAGAGCAAAAACAACATTTTACAACTTGCCAGAGTACAATAGAGTTAAAAATAAATCAAAAATAAAAAATATGTCTAGTAATATTGATAATAGTACTTAAACTACCGAAACCAATAACAAAAAACAGTCAAACAAACAAAGAGAAAAAGAAAAAATTATCTATCGGCCCTCTTGAATAAGTACTAAGTGCGACTAATAGGTAATACTAAAAGTTTAATTAATCATAATTGATTATAGGAAAAATAATGTTCTATGAAACTATTAAAATTAATTACTGTTAATGTTAATAACCGAGCGTAACATTTCCGGTAAAGAACTGTAATGAAGATCACAATTTTATGAAATTAAATTAAAATTATAAGAGATTATAAATAAAGGATTTTTGCACAACAAATTAGATTTAGGAGTGGGGTTTGTAAATGTACTAGCATTTCTATTAATGCGCACCGGAACGGTGAAGTGTAGGCCAGTTAATAAGTGCGGACAATCAATTAAATTATGGATTAAGCCAAACAAAAATTTTATACTATTTATTTCTCTGCGACATTTCAGTGACAATATGTCAAATCTTTGAAGGAGACTAGCAGTTGGAAAACCTCTTTGGGGGTAAAACCCATCTAATCTATAAGATATATATTTTAAAAACCTTCGTTGTATTTTTTCAATGCAATTGATCTGATTTTTATAATGGGGGTACCAAACTAGGTCGCAGTATTCTAGTTTGGGCCTTACTAGGGCGTAGTATAGTCGGAAAAGTACTTGATTGTTTCTAAACGATTTGGAGTTCCTTATTACAAATCCTAGCGTTTTTGAAGCTGAAGTACAAATAGAATGGATATGTTCCGTAAATAACAACCTTGAATCAAATGTCACTCCCAAATCTTTTGTCACAGTGACACGAGATAAAGGAGTTCCATCGATACAATATTGGTAGTTAATAATATCACGCTTTCGACTATATGACATTATCTTGCATTTGGAGATATTTAGGTCCAATAAGTTACGTTTGCACCAAATGGAAAGGTTATTTAACTGCTGCTGTAATTCGACGCATTTATTAATATTCATGATTTGTGTATATATTTTCAGGTCATCCGCAAAAAGAAGATAATTCGTGGAAAAACAATCTGAGATGTTATTAATGAATAGAAGGAATAGAAGCGGACCTAGATTGGATCCTTGAGGAACCCCTGATGATGCTATAAATGTAGACGACCTAAAGCCGTTAAACGCTACCAATTGTTTACGATTTGTCAAATACAAAGAGAAAAGATTAATTAGCAGCTCTGAAAATCCGTAACCTTTAAGCTTTTCAATAATTATTATATGATCGATAGTATCAAAAGCCTTACTAAAGTCCGTATATAAGACATCTACCTGACCTGTATTATCAAGAATGGTACTGGTGAAGTCAGCAAAGTCTTATATCATCGAAAGTATAAGAGATATAAAAAAAAGTTTTATATAAAAGTGGCTGTCTTTGATACGCTTAATTTAGAATTGATGTCAAAAAAAAATTCAAGATGGCTACTTTTGAGGAACATTTACCAACTTCCTAAACTTAAATAGGCGCTATATCGGATTTTTAGATTACTTGATAGATTTTTTAATTCTCTTTTCAACGAGCCATCAATACGTAAGATTGAAAATAAGATACCAGTTATATCTACGGTTTTTATATTTTAATCAAGTAGGCTGTGATGAATTAAAAAAAAACAAAGCAAAACCTATTCGAGCCAACAAAACAATGAAAATAATTACATTAGATGTTTAAAAAATCAGGGGCGCAGTATATGGACAGATGAATCTTATTTTTCTAACTGCGGAGTGTTAACATCGACATAATGAACACTATACTCGTCATAGGAAAACCTACACGTTGAATTTCACGCCGAAATCAAGTAATATTTTTTTTAATTAATGTATTTTATGGCATAATGGGAAGTCATGTAATTGGACCGGTAATTTTCGTTGGATCTGTAACTGCTCACCATTATTTACAAATTCTCCAATTCCTTCCTTAAAGGATTTTTCTCGACAGCGTATGTTTCGAAGAAAGGGTTGGTTTATGCTACCTACCAACAAAGCTGGCTGCTCAGGTCACAATTCACGAATTATGTACAGTACATTAAATTATAAAAGTAAGTACTTAATTAAAAAATAAAAGTAAAGTGGAAGTAGCTACCACTACAATAATAATAATAATCATCAATGGCAACACGTTGCCTAAACTAAACTGTCTTGAAGTGTGTTTCACTAATAATGGCCAGTATTTTAAACATCTGGTGTAATTATTTTCATTGTTTTGTTGCCTCGAATAGATTTTGTTTTGTTTTTTTTTTAATTCATCACAGCCTACTTGATTAAAATACAAAAACCGTTAATATAATTGGTATCTTATTTTCAATCTTATGTTATGATGGCTCGTTGAAAAGAGAATTAAAAAATCTATCAAGTAATCTAAAAATCCAATATGGCGCCCATTTAACTTTAGGAAGTTGGTAAATGTTCCTCAAAAGTGGCCATCTTGAATTTTTTTTTACATCAATTCTAAATTAAGCGTATTAAAGACAGTCACTTTTACCTATATAAAACTTTTTTTTATATCTCTTATACTTTCAATGACATAAGACATTCAAGGAAATGACCAATTTTAGTTTTTTTGAATTTACGTCGAACCTATGCGACATTTTGAATTTCCATAAGAAAATTTTAAATAAGCATCCAAAACTGCAAAACATTGCCCATTTAACCAATGCTCTATCTTTAATAATAACAAAGTTACCCATGCAATCCCACGCGATCTGAGACACACTGTATATTATATTATTTATTTTATTCACATGTTTTCACGTTCTTTGTTTTTTGGTCCGTATGAAAAAATGTAGTTTACGGTCATAGAAAAAAAACCAAACGTCCTGTATAAAATTGTATCGGGATGGATTCTACATAAAAAGTGCTCAAGGAAAGTTCTTGCCAAAATCAATTATCTTTTCTAAGTTGCGGGCCATTAAGGAAATTGACTAAATTTGAAAAACGCCCCCTAGCGGCCAACCGATTAGAGATTAGCTCAATTCTGTTTGCGCCAGTGATTTTCTATTTATAAAATTGAGCTTCAGGCCCCTAGCTCCATAAGAAAGTATTCAATATGGTCTACCCTATATATGTCTACCAAGAATGGATTTTTCGATAAAACAAAACCGACTGCAAATGTGGTTTTTTTTAAATTGAAAAATTTCTCACACAACATTTTTCACCCAGACAAGGGGTGACATCCACCCACAGGGTAAGAGCAAATCTTGATACAGAGTCAACCACGAAATTTGTGTGTCCCTTGACAATAAATAGCACAAAAATAATTTGTTGCAAATTTGAGTATTTTGACAGACTTTTTAGGGAAATTAATTGACTGTTTCCCCATTCCACTTTTTTTTCAAATTTGATAAATTGAACACCACAACCTTTTGAATTAGAGAGACAAATGATAGATCTTTGAGTATAAAAGAAATAAAAGGTTTTTAAGTGGAATATAAAAAGGAGATGTGTATTTAACCTACTTATCTTAATAGTTGTTTTTCTCTTGCCTTGTTTCCTGAAGTACGGGTTGACAATTGTATGAAAAAATATCAATTTAATGCCAAACTGCCTGTAATTAGTTGCTTAATGTATCTCGCTGCTTCTTATACATTAATTTTGTAGCGCATTATGAAACGCGTGTAAATTAACATCAGATAATGCTCCAAATTAGCCTATTGTGACTGGTTATTGTTTTTCGCTTGATAGCGTAGTAGGTTTGAATTATTATAATTTCAAGGTTTCGCCCACATCCTCTTAAAATATGTTCCACTTATTTAGATTAATTTTATTTTAATATTCTAGATCGATCCGAACAATCATCAGTGGGCACGTTACGCAGTCTCACCATCAGTACACCCGAACCTCAACCTTATCTACCGTCATATCTTAGCCTCGCATGCACCGTCAGTGGATACTCCACGAGCACAAATTACGATCCTGAGCGTCTATCAAAATCGCGAGACGTTTCCCCTCACAGACGCCACGATGATCCAAGTTTAAGCAAACTCACCTCCACTTATCAAATACGCAATAATTTACTATCACCTCCTAACGTTGTTCCTTTACCGCATCATAAATATACTCCTCTAACATCACCAAAGCCTAAAAACATGGAAGAACAAATTGAAACCAGGCGCGAGGTGTACACATCATCACAAATTTCTAGCACTTTTACGAGCCAGGAAAGCAACAGTTTCATCAGCAGTATGTTCTGTAATGATACTGTCGATGGCTGCGTCAAAAATGGACATCCTAGCGAAACACAGTCAAGGTACGAGTATCACATCCTTCTTTGTTGGTTTTTTTTTTATTATACCTGTATAAAATAAACAAAACACTTGATTTATAAGAAGAAGGTAAATTTTTCTCACGGTTATAGCACAGATTTAAACACTACATGGTTGTTTAAAATAGTCTGCTCTTTTTTTATTTAAGCGCCTGGTGAGTTAAATCCAAACTAATGTAACCAATATATCTATTTGAGATGTGTCTTATTTCCCTTTTACCGAAAAACATCGTAGGATATGTTTGTGACCGCCAGCTCTACAGTCCACGAAAGTGGAGCACTTTTCCGTCCGTCTGTCCGTCGTTCTGCCCTATACTCAGTCCCTAGACCTCGTATCAACTTCGACTTTTTGCTATTTGAAAGTTTATGGCTTATGTGCAACTATCAAAAATTAATCAGGGCGTTACCCAAAATGGACCAAATCGTTTTATGCGCCAATTTTGTTAGGAAAAAGAATAAATTCGCATAATGCTTAAGGGCCAACCGTTATATGTATTTTGATTTTGAGTCATTAGAAAAATTTAAATTTCACTCTTTCCCATTGCTTTCTTTTTATTTATTTTTGTTTAATCTATCCTTAGAGCAGCACATGTGCCAGGGATTTCAGTAGTTATGGCAGGAGTTGTGATTTTTATTATCAAGTTACACTCTCCCAATACACACGTATACACGGTGTCCATTTTTCGAGTGCCACTATGGGGATCTCGCTTACCTGAAGAGATAGAGAGTTGGTTAAATGGGGGCAAAGTTGCGAATTTTCGTGCTGAATAATAATCTGAAAAGAAATTAAAAATATCTTTAGTAGTTTTGAAAATATCGCAAAAAAACATTATTCAGACACTTTTTAATTTTTCGGGAAGAGTGCTTTGGAAAAACAAAACGTTCTTTTATCGTGAACAAAAGTATGACAGTTTGATCCATCTGTCTGGTTAGAGCGTTGGCAGGGAACTAGTTGAGTTGAGATTTTCATCTGAATATAATTGAACCTTCGTTTTGCAAGAAAATTATAATTCAAATTAGAACAAAATACTTAAGAAGAAATAATATTTTAGCAATAAATCTAGCACAAACGTAAATTACACTACTTGAAATAAGTCAACCTTTTGTTCACAACAAAAGAACGTTTTGTTTTTCCAAAGCACTCTTCGCAGAAAATTAAAATTGTAATTTTAGGAAAAATTGAATGATAAACTATTATCATTGTAGATTTATTAGTAAATTGTTTGATAAGAAGCGTTCATAGATGGGACGGGGCATATAAAGATCCTCACATCCTTTAAACTTAGGGTGTCAAAAAATGAAAGCATTAAATTTAGGTTTTAAACTATTTTTAAGCATAATTAAACATAAAATGCATTTTGTTTTAAGTATACAAACTCTGCTTTTTACAAATCACAACAATTTCAGGTACATGTCCTTGGAAACTAGGAATTCTACATACATGACAAATGGATCTAGTAAAACAGTATCCGAATCATCCTACAAAGAATTGAGTAACGGCATTCAGCAAAAATCCTTCATCCAGCAACGCGTAGAACGATTATACGGCCCCGGAGCGCTGGCGCAAGGCTTCTTCATCACTAAACGCCAAAAAAGTAGATCTTCAGAATCGGAATCCGATAAAAGCATTTCAAACATAAACAATAGCGAAAAACATTCACAATCGATGAGCGATAAATTTTTCGAAATCGACCATAGTGAAAGTAGCATAAAGCAGAGTACGAGTAGTCCGACGCTTCCAGTATTAAGGCATTTACGGCCGGAATTCCGGGCGCAACTACCTATAATTAGTCCTAAAAAGTGTAATGACGTCCCGTTACATAAAAGTATTACGGTGCCGACTTTGAACGAAGAAAACAAACTGAATGGACATAGAAAAGAGACGGATGTGTCAAAGGAGAATGGAACCTCTCATGAGGAATGTGCAGATGACACGAGTAAGTTGTATACTGGCTCAGTTACTTTTTTTCTAATTGGAGGCAACAGAGAAAATTATTTTTGCTTTGATTTCACATTTTCTCTAAATCTGTATTTCAAAAATTGGTTCACGCTAAATTCCTTATAATCTATGAATAAACTACCGCTGTTTTGTTAGCAAACGCCGTTATATATTGTTTTACGGTATAGAATTTCTTTTTTTTGCATAATTTTTGTGAGAATGTAGTTGAGGTTGTTTTTAAGTAACGTTGGAATTTTATAAAATGCGAAAAACAAAGGAAAAGAATTTTGATTCGGCTCAAAAAAGCACCAATGTATCGATAGTCTCTTTTTTTAGTAAAACTCAGCGTACGGGTTGGTAAAAATGCCTCGCATTTTAAGAGTTCGTTAGTGTATGTTGATTTCACACAAATTCCGACGAAAATTGGGTATTTTTTGTCTTTGTGCTTCATTTTTTTGGTGTAATACATACTTAATCGGTTTTGGATACTGTGTCCAATTTCGTTTTTGTTCCATGCATTTCATACATGCGATTTTTTACAAATATCGATGTTTGAGTCCCCAAAAAAGTCCCTTAGGGACAAACTACCGCTGTTTTGTTAGTAATCGCTGTTATATATTGTTTTACCGTATAGAATTTCTTGTTTTTTTCATAATTTTTGTGAGAATGTAGTTGGGGTTGTTTTTAAGTAACGTTGGAATTTTATAAAATGCGAAAAACAAAGGAAAAGAATTTTGATTCGGCTCAAAAAAGCACCAATATATCGATAGTCTCTTTTTTTAGTAAAACTCAGCATATGGGGTTGGTAAAAATGCTTCGCATTTTAAGACTTCGTTAGCGTATGTTGATTTCACACAAATTCCGACGAAAATTGGGTATTTTTTATGTTTGTGTTTCATTTTTTCGGTGTAAGACATACTTAATCGGTTTTGGATACTGTGTGCAATGTCGTTTTTGTTCCATGCATTTCATGTATGCGATTTTTTACAAATATCGATGTTTGAGTCCCCAAAAAAATCCCTTAGGGACCTCAAATCTCCGCCAAACTTTTTGTAGTTTAACGTCGATTTTAGCAAAAAAAAAGAAATAATAAATTTTGCTTTAAAAAGAAATTTGCCTTTTTCATATTTTTCATATGCGACAAGTGCCCATTTTGCGCTCATTTTTATTTGTTTTTTAATTTTCACTTTGGCGTCCCCTTTCACTCTTTTGAATTTTTTCAGGCAATGAAAGTGTCATACGATCATCTTTCCCTTTCGATCGCTGTGCCAACCGTTCCAATACCTTGAATATTAGTGAAATTATTAATTTTTTGTAAAGGTATACAAAATTCGAAAAATGAGATTTGGCCCCTACGGCCAAAACCGTTAATTTGGATTCAAATGTTGATTTTTGCGCATGCACTTTGGTTTTATAAGAGGGACCTATAAATCAAATCTGGGGCAAATTGCTCAGTACCTAAATAAAAAAGTTGCGTTTTGCGCATGCGCAGTCCGATTTTCTGCGTATGCATTTTGTTCGCTTGTATTAGAGGGACCTACCATACAAAATTCGTTAAAATTGCTCTATAAATAGAGCTAGGAATTTTTACAATCGGCATTTTACCTGAAAACGGCCTAGCGAGCGCACATATATCTTCAATGGGATTGAAACTGCAATAGTAGGGAGGTAACCATAGTCCCACATGTCCATTTTCTAATGCCATCTCACCAGCAGCATACTATTTTGAAGGTTTGTTTCTGAAATAACAAATTTTTAGTTGCAAAAGGAAACAAGCCTTGCAACAATATATAATAGTCTTTGCACAGTTGACATAAACGCTATCTACATTCAATGTATGTTTTAACTTACTGTGTTGGATCATGTCATAGATGGAGTTCCAAATCGCTGCTTGTGTGAAACCATCCACATTGCTGACGCGTGTCTTGTTTTTTAGGACTTTTTGAGGTTTTCTCGATTTAGAAATTTGTAAAATAGAAGTCACTGTTGGCATGGACTGCTCTGAACCGAGATAGTACGTGCTTTCATAATTATCTTACCATTGTAAATTATTTGCCTAAGTAAATCTCAGTAAACAGTAAACTTCATGATATGATATGATAGCCTTGTAAGGTAATAAGCAAATTTTTTTAATTAGAGTAACTTCAAATTTGACAGATTTAAAAATGTGACATTCAAATTGATAAGTGTACAATGCTATTGCAAAATTTGTTATCGTTCATTCTAAAATGTATCCTTTTCGTTCCTCATTTAATTGTGGCATTTATTAATTCTTTCAAATCAGTCAAAGATGGCCACTACTTCTTGCGCATACTGGAAGCGGAAACCGTTCGCCTTCTTCGAATGGCGGATAAAGTCGAAAAGGAGCTGGAAGAAACGGAAGATTTATCTGAGGAAATTAAGGGAAAGTTGCGGTCAGCTTCGGGGAAAGCTCGTCTTTTAACATCACAAAAAATGCAGCAATTCAAGGGGTTGTGCACGAATAATCTCACACAGGTATGTTACCACCGAATCATACATGGCCGATATCTATAACATTATTTTAGAAATCGGGTGAGGCGTTTCCAACGACAAACGAAGACCTGCAAGGTTTTTGGGATATGGTTTTACTTCAGGTCGAACAAATAGATCAGCTGTTTAGTGAAATTGATGTTATACGATTAAATAATTGGAAAGAGGTAAGTACATTCACCAAATTCTCTCCGTTATAGACCGTTTTTTAGTTGGATAAGCCCACACCTACAAAAAGTCTCTCTAATGGAACTAATACTAATAAAACGCGTAAGGCTGTTCGTATTACAAGTAAAACAAATATCGAAGCAAATAAAGAAAGGGAAGCTAAGCGAAAACAATTACTAGAAGAACGGCGAAAAGCCATGCGCCAACAAAAGCAAAATATGAAAGAAAACATTGAAATTTTTGTGCCTGAGTCAAGTTGAGAAAAATAATTATTTTAGATATGCGATTATAGAGCCCGTTATTTATTTACTAAACTCATATTCGGCAAAAAAAATGACAGACTTCGGTGTTGGATACTTTTGTATCGATGTTTTATGCACTATTTACTTACTCTCGAGCGGTCCTCCATTTTTTTAAAAAAAACTAAAAAGACTGAATCGAAAATTCTGAGGTAACGACCAACAATAATTCCTTGTGTTTATGCATTAATGTTTTCACATTCCCTGTGATTGTTCAAATTGTCGATGTTGGTTTTTTATTTCTATCTACAATGTAAATTCTATTTACCTAATATGCTATTTTAAAATTGTTGCACTAAAATTACTATTTATTGTATATATAATGTTATAGTTTTGTTAAATTTTAAATTTAAATGGGGGAATTGTAGTGTTTTAATAGTTTTAAACCACCACAATGCTTCATTTAAATAGCATACTTTTTTAGGTTGACTGCTATAAATTATTGGTGAGATTGATTTGTTTGTAACCATTTATAATATTTAATATATAGTGGCTATTTTATTGAATTTTTAACCTACACCTTCTATTTATTAAATTGTGAAATTAATCGTTTAAACTTCTTTTAATTTAGAATGGTCTTTGGTGACGTGCAAGTGATTGTCAGCTTTGCTCACTGTAAATAATGTTTGTCGCATATTTTTGAGTAATACAAAACTGGTAGTGTGTTGTCACAACAAATGCACTCGTTTACGACATCATTAAAGTGGATTATAAATTCATTAACATGGGTAGACGGAGATTTAGTGTTGTGTTTTTCTTTCCGGGCGCCTTATTTTATGCAACCAAGATAACTTCTTGAAACAAAGATCTGGCTGATTATTGCTGTGGCTTCCATATTTTTATTTTCGTTTATGTTCGATGGATTCAACTGAAGAAAAAGTTGATATTATCAATTGGTATAGTGCCAGTAACAGTTTAAGAAGTGTGAAGCCAAATCAAGATCTTTGTATTTTAAGAATTATTTTGGTTGCATAAAGTTAGGCGCCCTTCAGAAGATTTTGTCATTTAAACGCAGACAAAATATTATTAATGACAATAAATTAAAATAAATTATTCTGCATTCATTGAACAGAGTTTACTTTGAAGTGGGAAAGGGGAAAAACAATACACGTAAATCCAGATGTCTACTTGGAGATTCCCAATCTCTGTCTGAAGCACCCTGTTTTTTTATTCTGGTGAATTCTCATTTGCGATAGAAGTTGCAGTAGGCAAGATCAACAAATTTGTTTGTATGGGCAATTTCCCAAAAAAAAACTTTAGAATAAAGATTTCATGATCATGAATTGATATACTGATCATATAAATTACAATTAGATTCTTGTGAATTAATTTTTACCCAGACTTGCCCAGTAGCTATTATATTATTATTGAATCAGTAACTTGTTTTGTAGGTAGGCGTCACATTTAATTCCAAAAATGGAAAAATTAATCATTTATTTAACAAAATTCAAACACTAAATTATTATTACAACATTGTAGTCAAAATCTATAATGAATAATTATACTTAATCTCTGTCAACTTAAAACCTAAAATTCACAAATAATTGAAATGAATAAGAAAAAACATAATTATTCCTTGGCATCTCCAATACCATCGGCATTTATAGCAAACATAGCTTCAGACTCAGGAAGACAAGGTGAATCATAAATTTTGCAAACTCGTGTTTCCCCTCTCCCTTTACGTAAGTATAGCCGAGTGGTAGAAGCGTGAGCAATAATATTTCCGCCAATGGGTTTTTTAGGATCCGCATTAAACATAGCTGCCCCATCTACTTGCGCGACAACTTGATTAGTAATCAACACTGCAACTCCAAACTAAAACAAAATGTACTGTAAGAGAGCAGATTAGCGGTTGTACTTCACCTCATCAGCGAGCCTTAGTAACATCCTCAAAAAACGGGCAAGATGGATCTGGCGAGCTGATAATTCCCCTCTTCCGGAATAATCTGTACGATATAATGAAGTTGCACTGTCTACTATGAGTAATGAGTATCTAGAGTCGACCATAATTGCCGATGCTTGCACTAGTAATTTCATTTGATGGTCTGTGTTGTAAGCACGGGCATAGGCGATGTTATCTAAAACGCGTTGACCGGACAACTTGTATCTGTCTGCTATGGAGAGGATTCGTTCAGGTCTAAAGGTGCCTTCAGTATCTATGTATAAGCACTTCCCTTCTCCTCCATTGCTATCCAGCCCTAACTGTAATATAACACGAACTCAATAATTACATTATTTTCCAATCGACAGCAACACAATACTTACTTGACATGTTACAGCCAAAGTGTGACATAATTGCGTTTTTCCCGTTCTAAACTCCCCAAAAATTTCAGTAATCGACCCCGTTTCAATGCCGCCCCCGAGCAGACGGTCGAGCTCCTTAGAACCGGTCGTCACGAATATCACCTCGGATCGCTTGACATGAAAATCGGAGGCGGTCGAAAATCCCATGGGTACGAGTTTCGTCGCTTCGTCGAGTATTTTATCGGCTTTCGCCTCCGAAATACCTTTAATCGTTAACAAAAACTTCTTCGGTGCGTATGCCACAGACTCAACGGTGCAATAACCGGACTCCTTCAACTTCTTTATATCGGCGGCGGTAATGCCGTTTCCCTATAAAATGGGGGTGAGTCACTTCGAATAAACATCACTACCTACTTCTAATTTGGAAAGTGGTTGAGGTCCGACTTCTTCACTGTCTGCGGCGACATTTTCGATTGTTGCAGTGGAGCCTACAGAGACGCTCATTTTCGTAAATATCCTTTAAACATACGCGACTGATAAGCAATCACACAATAATTTCTTTTTGACTTTGACACAGAATGCTTTAGTTCTTATAGGTTAGGAAATGAATTTGTTTTGTTTTTCAATTAAAGGACCGTTACGTACGAAAATAAACGAACGTTGGGGATTTCTTGTTGGTGAATTTTAAGTTGGTATACAATTTGAACTTATGGGCCTTTAATATTTTGAATATTAAATATTTATAATGCATATAATATAATTATGACAAATATATTGTGTATTTAACATTTGCATTATGAGTACCTAGCCAAGATATTTGAATTTCTAAAAATCTAAAAATGGGTATTTGCGAATAAATTTTATTCTAAACCGGTTTACTGCTGACCAAGCCATTAGGGGCCTATTCTAACTATAGGTCCATTCCATTCAGTATGACCTAGTTCACCCAGTTCCTATTCCTTCAAATGATTCAAAGTACTACTACTGGACCGAGACTGTAAAACATTGTACCAATTTATAGTGGTCAGGATCAGCTTATAGGTGGTTTACAGTCTACGGGGGGTTTACAGAAACTTGCAAAAGTAATCATAGGAAAATCTACAAACCTAGTTGAATGATCGTAAAGGCCCATAGTAAAACTAATCGGTATGATCATGTCTTTCATTATAATATAATGGGTAATCTACGTACTCTACCATACTGATTTGATAAGTACAGGAGGATTTGTTCCAAAATCTTTGGGCAAATACCTATTTAGATTACCTAATTATACAGGGTGTGACAATATACTAGTTTAAATCCGTTTTGGAAATACTCAGTATATAAAAGTGAGGTTATAACATTTTTTTAACTGATAAATAAAGCAAATAGAGGTCATAACTTTTTGATAACTTTCTCTTGATAAATAAGTGACTTGCCACATCTGAACTTTGGTCACTTTTAAATTTTATGTGTGTATGACTGGCAACTTTATTCCGGAACTGATATCCACAGTTGAATTCTGACCTACGTTTCGCTTGAACACAAAATGTCCAATTTGAGATTCGATGGTAAAGTTGCGGTTATTACTGGTGCTGGTGCGGGTTTAGGACGAGCGTATGCTTTGTTGTTCGCATCCAGAGGTGCTAAGGTTGTTGTAAACGACTTAGGTGGCGATCCTCATGGACGAGGAAGTGGACAGAAAGCGGCGGATGTCGTTGTTAATGAAATTAAACAAGCAGGTTAGTAAGGTTGGTCATTTTTGCAGTAATTACGTAGGTATTACAGGTGGTACCGCAGTTGCCAACTATGATTCTGTAACCGAGGGGTCGAAAATTATTAAAACTGCCCTTGATAACTACGGACGGGTGGATATCCTTGTAAATAATGCTGGTATTCTACGAGATAAAAGTTTTGCAAACCTTACTGAAGATGATTGGGGTAAGTACAATTCATTATTACAATCGTCTGATGTAGTTTTATAACATTTTTAGATATAATTCAAAGTGTGCACTTGAAGGGAAGTTTCAAGACAACACAGGCCGCATTTCCGGTTATGAAAAAGCAAGGGTATGGTAGAATTATTATGACATCTTCGGGTTCGGGTCTTTATGGCAATTTTGGTCAAGCCAATTATTCGGCTGCAAAAATGGGCGTAGTAGGTTTAGCTAATACACTCGCAATTGAGGGTGCAGCAAAGAATGTGTACTGCAATGTAATTGTTCCCACTGCCGGTAGCAGACTTACACAAGGTCTTCTTCCTGAAGACTTGTACCAGGAATTGAAACCGGAATTGATTGCACCTGTTGTTGTAAGTATTTGTCTCTTCAAGGGAGTATGGTTTATTGTGCAATTGTCTTACACTAATTAAAAGTATTATTATTATCCTTGGAAATTTTGGGAAATTATTAGGATCTTTTCAGAAAGTGCTTTGGGCAAGGTAATGATTGATGACTAAAGGCCTTGTTAAAGGCTGATTCACATTATCGGTCACGTCACGGTATGGTCAATTATTATAGCCTGTATTCCTATAAGGCCAATTGACATTATCGGTCAGAACATGTTCATAAGAAATACCCGCTAAAATAATTCATCGGACGGTGATCTTACCGTGATATGAATCAGGCTTAACCTTTTGAAGTTACCAATGTTGAACCAGATGCTTTTTTGTTAAATTTCCAAAAAAACACATCAAAAGAGTGATTTTAGGAACACGTTTTTTTTCTTAATATCAAAAACAACTAAATTCCTTTTTGTGCAGTTGACATTCAGTAAGTATCCCAACTGAGTTTCAGCAGGTTTTTAGCACTTTACCTGGAGGGTACCTTTAGTAGTATAACAGTGAACCCCTCCTGTGTTTTAAAATAACAATTTTTTAATAAAAACCTCAAGCGGCCATGATCTATTGCTAGAGTTGTAACTTCTGTGGCGCATCTAATATTTTTGTTTTATAATTTTTGTTTTACGGGGTCTCCAAGCCACCTTGTATTAACCCCTTCCCTTTTTAGCGCATTTCCACAAAAAATGCGCTATTGTGGCCACTTTGTCCGTCCGTCCGTCCGCTCGTTTTGCGACGCTACTAGTTCTTTATCTTAAGAGCGATTGTTTTACTTTTTTCGCTATTTGGTTCGTTATGGTGTCGAGTCTTGTACCAAGGAAGGAATTTTTTCTGTACCGCTTACAAAAAAAGTTATTGTAAAAAAAACAAAAAACCGTTTTTTACGTGTTCCATAATTTTACACTTTTGCCGTTTATTAACGATCCTAGAGATCGTTTATAATTTTGTATTGCTGTCTGTCCTCCGCCTGTTGGTCTGTCCGTCTGTTCCTTTGTCTGTCTGTCCATCTATCTGTCCATGTGAACGATAATTTTGTTTAGAAATGTCCGATCGCTTTTAGATCTCCGTTAGTTATGAACTGAATTGCATGAAATTCAATATGGGCATAGCTTTAGTCATATAATACGCAATGCCAAAAGTTGATTAGAATAGATTCAAAATGCACAGTGCCCTTTTCGCATCTCGACCATTTATAAACCGAATTGCAAACTTTTTTTCTTATAAAGGTATTTGAATGAAATTTGATACATAGGCATTTGGAATGAAAGAAAATCAAACGCGAATTTCAAAATTTGGTTTTGCGCATGTGCAGTGCCAACTTTTTTTATTTATGGAAGAATTTAAACGAAATTTGATACATAGGCACTTGGGATAAAGGAAAATCAGACGCCAATGTCAAAATTTGGTTTTGCGCACGCGCAGTGCCAACTTTTTTATTTATGGAAAAATTTAAATGAAATTTGATACATAGGCACATGGAATAAAGGAAAATCTAGCGCCAGTTTCAAGATTTTATTTTGCGCATGCGCAGTGCCAACTTTTTTATCTATGGAAGCATTTAAGTGAAATTTGATACTTAGGCGCTTGGAACAAAGGAAAATTTAACATTAGTTTCAAAATTTAGGTTTGCGCATGCAATTTTCTTATTTAGAAAAGCATTTAAATGAAATTCTTCTCATAAACTGAAATTGAAGTAGCACGTCAAAAATGGATTGCCCATATGCAACGCTATCTTTCATATTTGTGGTCGGATTTTTACGATTTTAACAGAAGTTGCATCTTACAAATGGGAAATGAATGCAAGTGGAAATGCGCTTTATGTAAATCGTTTACGATTACTTTTTAACTTGTTAAAATTAGGTTGTAGCCAGTGCCATAACAAGGCATGTACAGTGTGGTCCAATTTCGATGGGATTAAATGGTTAACTTTCTTATTATATTAGCGCAGATAAACGAAGTGACCTCTTTTTTCATGCTTATTCTATTACCGATGCCAGAAATACGCTGCCGTCTTTTGTTTTTTTAACTAGAGAGAAAAACTGATAAATGGCCGGTTCTTTCCATTTGCTGTAACTCCTTTGAAGCTAGAACAAAATGGCTTGAGCATTATTTGGGCACTTTAACATGTGTGATATGTATTCTCACGATTATGGCGTTGTGCGCTGGCGCACCATGCTGTTGAAACCAACAAAGTGTTCAATTTTTGTTTTTTGTACCGTACATCGTTGTATTTTAATAAAAAATGCTATTCAATACAGTAGGTACTTTTTTGCGAGCCATATCAAAAAATAAAGCTGATGATTTCTCCGAAATGAAACCTTGTATTGAAACTCTCTCAGTGCTGTCTTGTATCTGTTCAAATAACATCAGGGCAAATTTAGTTTTTTCTGGCATATGTTGGGAAGTAGTCGGAATTTTCAGGTTTTCCTTACTGCATGTGACTAACCCTTTTATTGCAAACCTTTGCCCTAATTTGACCACTGTCATATCTTCTACGGTGTCTGAGATCTCCATGATACACATCCTTATCTTGGACCCAGTGTATAAGTGAATTAACAATTTAAATTATTTTTAATGTGTATGTTTTTTTGGGGGTACCCGATGACTATGGTAACTAAAATAAAATCAAAAATGTAACCTTATTTATAAAAACTGGTAAATACATACCTATTTTTACTTCTGGTATGAATATGTTTTGGAGTGCAAGGTGGTTCAAAAAGAACTCGCTGTGGCACTGATTGTAATTGTTGTGATGTATCAAATACTTTTGTTTCATGGTTTGATTTCATTTACAAGGTCCCATTCCATTCTATAACAACTGGATATAAAAAATGAACCTCATCCGGCATTCGGGTAATAAATGATTGCCTCTCATGGAAAAATTTTTTTTTAAATTTTGTAATTTTAAAATGAGGATTATATTCTGTATTTTAAATTATTGATAGTTATATTTTGAGTTTTTGAAATGAAAAAAAGTGATTTAGGTAAAACGTTCAGGTGAAACGATTAAAAATTTTGGGAACCCTCAGAACTCTTGAAACAAAGAAGTAATTACCAAATCCTATGAAATAGTCTCGATATCTAATACCACAAATGGATATAAACAAACATTTCAATCTGAGAAAAAATCAACAGACATTGGTGTTCCCCAGGGTTCGGTGCCGGGTCCCACATTATTTCTCTTCTACATCAACGACATTTCTCCTCATCTTGGTGTCGGTATAGCCCACTTCCTATACGCGGACGATACCTCCCTATTGCTTTCAGATAAGAATCAGACGCAACTCGAAAAATTATGCAACGAGAACCTTGACAAACTACACAACTGGTTCAGCAACAATTCTCTGGTATTGAATGGAAGGAAGACTAATTTTGTTAGATTTCATAACTTCCAAAAACCAACAAATATATTGACTTTAAAAATACAGGGTGGAGAGGTGCAGCATGTAGACGAAACCAAATTTTTGGGACTACATATTGACCACAATATAAATTGGAAAAAGCACTGTGAGAAGCTGGCTGCTAGGCTGAGCTCCTTAAATTATCTGTTTAGAAATCTAAAAAATGTTATAAGGCTTGCGCAATTAATAAACATTTACCGTGCTCTGGTGAGCACTATCCTTCGATGCGGGATATGTTTGTGGGGCACATCTACTTACTCTCACGAAGTTCTTGTTGCACAAAAACGTATTATTAGGACGATTGCGAATGTTCCAAAAATTCATTCAAACAATTCAACATTTTATCTTTAACCAACTTATACATTTTAGAAACATGCAAACTAATTTTCAGATACTCACATACATTAAATAAAAACAAAGACATTCATAATCATAATCTGCGCAACAACGACTTTTACAGAATTCCGCACACCAAATATAACATTGGCTTAAGCTCACCCTTTGTACTGTACGAAGCTCTGGATAGGACACATAGGAAATTATTTTGTAAGTTACAGTTGTAATTGGGAATTACACTAATTTACAGTTGTAACTGGGAATTATCCTTGACAGTTACAACGGTAAATTAGTTTAATTCCCAGTTACAACTGTAAATTAGTGTAATTCCCAATTACAACTGTAAATTATAAACTAATTCCTAGTTACAACTGTAAATTAGCATAATTCCCAGTTACAACTGTAAATTAGTGTAATTCCCAATTACAACTGTAAATTATAAACTAATTCCTAGTTACAACTGTAAATTATAAACTAATTCCTAGTTACAACTGTAAATTAGCATAATTCCCAGTTACAACTGTAAATTAGCATAATTCCCAGTTACAACTGTAAATTATAAACTAATTCCCAGTTACAATTTCCTATGTGTCCTATCCAGAGCTTCGGAGTACTGGGAGTAAAAATGTTTAACAAATTACCCGAACAAATTAAATGCTGCAATACACTAAATAACTTTAATAAGAGATTACTTCTATACTTAAATAATCACTGTTTTTACAATATCAAAGAGTTCCTTGAACATGCTTAACTGTGATATTATTTGTCTGTTAGTAATTATGTGTATTTGACATGTCCTATACCTATACCACGGTCCATGGAATAAAAATATTATTATTATTATTAAGTATTAAAATAATTTAAAAAAAAGGCTGTACACATTTTAAGGACTGACACACTGGTTTTGTATATCATAGTTATTTATGGTAATATGTTTGCAGGCTTATTTGTGCCACGATAGTTGTCAAGAGAATGGTACAATAATAGAATCGGCCGCCGGATGGGCCGGGAAGTCACAAATATGCCGTTCTAAAGGTGGCCTTATTCGACAACGTATCACCGATCCTGCCACAATTGAAAATGTGGAAGCGAAATGGCCAGAGATTACAGACATGAAAAATGCGGTTCCCCGAGTTTCACTATCGGCATCTCTTGCAGATTTGGCGGAAAAACTGGAGCATTTAAGGCAAGGGGAAGAACCACCCACCTCATCCAGAGAAGGCGATATATTTACGTTTTCTTCTAAAGATCTAATTTTGTACGCGCTCGGAGGTACTTCTTTCAATTGCTTGACAAAGATAATGTGTTTTGTTAATTAGTGGGGGCATCCGTTCAGAATCCAGAGGAGTTAAAGTTGTTGTACGAAAATCACGAGAACTTTGGTTCAATTCCGTCTTTTTACATTTTACCTAGTTTGCAAGCGGTGATGTCTTCGTCACAACTTAATACAATACCCGGAAAATCAATTTCTCTTGAAAATATGCTTCATGGTGAACAATACCTAGAGATCTACAATAGCACTCCCGAGGCCGGTACATTACTAAGCAATCCCAAAATCGTAGAGACATTGGATAAGGGGTCTGGTGCCGCAATTGTTACGGAAAGTAAGATTAGTGCAGCAATTGAAATCTGAGTTTTAAAACTTAACGTTTAGTTAACAGTTACAATGAGCAAGGGGCGTTGATTATGCGAAATCAGTGTGTTACGTTTGCTGTTGGCGCTGGTAACTTCGGAGGGCCCAGAACTGGAAACAAAATCGTACCTTGTGTACCGAAACCAGACCGTAAACCCGACCTATCCCTATCCTACAAGACAACAATCGACCAAGCGGCACTTTACAGATTATCCGGTAAGGCACTAGACGTTAACTTTTAATCTGACTCATGTGTAGGCGATATTAATCCAATGCATATCGATCCTAACTTTTCTGCAATCGCCGGGTATGAGAAACCAATTTTGCACGGTTTGTGTACGTTGGGTATTTCGGTTCGGTTAGTAATGGGTGCATTCGCGTCTTACGACCGGAAGCTCTTTAGGGCGGTTAAAGTAAGAAGGGAAATTAGTTTTTCCACGTCCTTATTGTCACACTTTTAGGCACGGTTCACGAAAGTGGTGATCCCAGGCCAAACATTGCGCGTGGACATGTGGAGAAATGGAAATCGAATTCATTTTGAAACGATCGTTGTTGAGAATGGCACCGCTGCTATTACAGGTAAGATACTTTATTTCCTATCAACAAATTCAAGTGGGTTTAATTTACCTCTCACGTTTCATTAATTGTGAACTTTACTCCGGTTATTTATAACCTCACTTTTCCCTTTAATTCTCTATTGTCATCCATAAATTTATTGATAAGGTAATCATAATTTCCAGGTGCTTACGTTGACCTAAAGGCTATCAAGACAGGAATAATGCAAAATAAATTGGCAGCAAGTACTTTGAAGAGCGATGCAGTCTTTGAATATATTAATGACCAAGTGAAAGTGCAACCCGATAAAGCAAAGAGCGTAAATGGAATTTTCTTAGTGAAAATCACAAAGGATGGAGAAATTGTTAAAGAATGGAGTAAGTTTAAGTTTGTTTGCAATACTACACCGTTACAAATGATTACGTTTTAGCCATGGATCTAAAATCGGCATCGATATACGAAGGAGCGGGAAAAGATGTGAAACCGAATACAACACTGGTCGTATCGGATGACGATTTCGTGGAATTAGCCGTTGGTAAATTGAACCCGCAACAAGCATTTATGAAGGGCAAATTGAAAGTGACCGGAAATATTATGCTTGCTCAAAAATTGGGACCTCTCCTTAAAGCTGCACCTAAACTTTAAATGTATTCCACTTATTCTTTGAATTTTTGTTGTATCATAGTGTAGTAGAATTAAATGTAAATGTGTTTTACATTCCGTTCACGTGGGGTTGTGTAGTTTTCAAATATATTTGTTATCATTTTGTAAGGAACATAAATACAACTTATAACTATTCGTTTGTATGCATACTTAATAGAGGCAAATAGAAAGTGTACGCTGGGTGCGGAAACATGGGCAATACAAATTAATGTACCTACTATATTGGGGAAGCAAAGTGATGGAAGTAGCTGCTGTAAAGGAGTAACAAGCAACACAAAAAGTTTGTGATAATAATCCCAAAGCAAAGAATGATCATGTGCGATCATTAGTATGTCCACAGATATACGTAAAGAATATATCTGTGGTATGTCTCTAACTAGTATTGGATTGACTATTCCGGGAATTAAGTTTTGATTTCATTTTGTTTCTATACCTTCTTCTTTGGGCTAGTTATAAATAGATTAATTCAATAACCGTTTGACCTGTCAGACTGAATGTTATTGTATATACAGTGCCCCCCCCCCCCGGTTGTTTGGTCAACACTTGTAAAGGCCACTTAACATGGAGCAATGAAAATTGCAAAGTTGCACTTCAAAGCCAACTGATCAATTGCATGCAATTTTTATAGAACCGGGATATTTTTCCTGTATGAACCCGGCAATTCTAGGGATTTTGTGTCCCCAACCTTGCACGTTGTATTATACACGGTGTCCATTTTTCAAGTGCCACGATGGGGATCTCACTTACCTTAAGAGAGAGAAAGTTGGTTAAATGGGGGCAAAGTTGCGAATTTCCCTGCTGAATAACCATCTGAAAAGAAATTTAAAATATCATCAATAGTTCTGAAAATATCGCAAAAAAACGAAACTTTTTGATTTTCGTTTTTAATTTTTTCATGATAAACTAGTCGTATTAGACATTTCTAATTAACACATTATTCGAACACTTTTCAATGGAGATTTCGAATGTGACATCTCGTTTTAAATAACTTTTAAGATGACAGAGAAACACGTGGCAACTTTAATTTTTCTTATGAGCGTCATTTTTAATTTTGAGATTTTAAGATTACGTCTTTTTTTCTCTTTACGACGATATATCACACATGGTGGTTCAGTATCACATTTTTCCTAAAATACAATATTTAATTTTTTTGGAAGAGTGCTTTGGAAAAACAAAACGTTCTTTTATTGTGAACAAAAGTTTGACAGTTTGATGCATATGTCCGGTTGCAGCGTTGGCATCAGGGAACTAGATGTGTTGAGAAAATTCGATTTTCATATGAACAGAATTGAACCTTCGTTTTGCAGAAAATTCTGAAAATTATAATTCAAATTAGAACAAAATACATAAGAATAATAGTTATTTATGCATCAAGGGCATTAAGACGATATTTATGCCGAGTGCGACAGAGCCCGAGGGATTGTAAGTCGCCCAACATTAAAGTAAAGCATAATAGACTGCTTTTATATATCACATATGACAGATATAATTCACATATAATAGGCAAATGAAAAATAAATAATATTTTAGCAATAAAACTAGCACAGACGTAAATGACACGTTGCTTGAAATAAGTCAATGTTTTGTTCACAACAAAAGAACGTTTTGTTTTTGCATAGTACTCTTCGCATAAAATGAAAATTTTATTTTTAGAAAAAATGTGATACTGAACCATGTGTGATATATCGTTGTAAAGAGAAAAAAAAGACCTAATCTCAAAATGTCAAAATCCAAAACGGCGCCCATAAAAAAACTAAAGTTTTCACGTGTTTCTCCGTTATCTTGAAAGTTATTAAAAACGGGATGCCATATTCGAAATCTCCATTAAAAAGTGTCTGAATTATGTGTTAATTAGAAATGTCTAGTACAATTAGTTTACCATGAAAAACTTAAAAATGAAAATCAGAAATTTTCGATTTTTTGCCATATTTTCCAAACTATTGAAGATATTATAAATTTCTTTTTAGATTATTATTCAGCACGAAAATTCGCAACTTTGCCCTAATTTAACCAAGTTTCTATCTCTTAAGATAAGCGATATCCCCATAGTGGCACTCGAAAAATGGACACCGTATATATCAGGTGGCCTTAAAAGACAAATCCGAATTTTCTCGAATTGAATTTTAAGCTTCTGCGGATCAACCCTGCTTGGTTGGCAACTAATTTGTGTGATAATTTTAGTTTCGAAAAATCAAGGGTGCTTTTGTAATTTTCAAAAAACGTTTTTTGCATACCATCAGTAAAGTGCTCTTTGCGGGCGAGATACGCACATAGGTTTTTAAGAAAAGTTGCTCATAATGAAAAACTGAGTAAACGTGCTTTTCAAAGGCCTATGATTTTTTAATTTTTTCATTTATTGTTTAACTTGATTTTTGAGGAAATCCGAAAATTAAAAAAACTTTAAAATAGAATGTAATCACCGTGTCGAAAATTTGAAGTCGATTTGAGCGCTTACAATATTTTATTTAAAATGTAGATAAATTAAGATTCATCATTTTTTATTCGTGAAGGGGTACGGATGTGCTGTTTGGGCTCTGATAAATTAAGTGAAACGCAACATGTACCAGGTCAGAAGGCCAACTGTTGTTTTTGTGAATACACGCTGGCTGATAAATAAAACAAGCGCGTTCCCCTCGGAGAATTTTATCATTTTGATAGCTATGGTCAAACGGTTCATCAACAAGTCAATAAAATACAGGGTGTCCCAACAATGAACAACCAAATTTCACAAATGAATGTGCTTCTAACTCAACCAAACTTAATAGTTAAGTGGCCAAATCGAAAAACGACTCTGTTTCTTAGTTCTAACGGCATTTTATGAGCCATTTAGGCCACATGGTTTTTTAGATGTAAAAAAATGTACTGAAATCCGATTCTGGATGTTGCCAGGCCGAATTTTGCACTAGTTCACAAATACAGCACGATGGCGCCACTATCTATTGTATTGTGTACTATTTAGTATTAAATTGTTTTCCATAATTTATTACTTATATATACGTAAGAGTTGGTTAATTAACTTCATAGCTAGTTCGGAAAATGTATGAAAATATATCCTGTGGTGATATACAGGGTGTCCCAAAAAAGCTGTGAATTAATTTAAATTAGGGTTTTACATTTTCCTCGGCAAATTTTGTTTGTTATTAAATTTTGTGCTTTTTAATAAACGTTGGTAAATATTTAAGTTTTTTCCAACTATATATATAAATAAAAATTGCGTATTTTTTCCAACGAATTCAAATCTGCAATTAAAAAAACAAAACCATATCGCATTTTTCAGATGATAACAAAAATGTGACTTTGATATGGAACACCCTGTGTATTATTACATAATATCATTGAATTTATAACTATCTATAAATTCAATGATATATGACAGGTTATTATATTCTTTATAGCAAAAATATTTTAAATAACCATTTTCAAATTATTGACGATCTCCTAGGACCTAGAGAGTTTATAATTTTGCGGTGCCTGTCCATCTGTCCCGAGATCTGTTCATTAGCACGAAAACGAATAGACCGCAGATTATGATGAAATTTTGCATTTGGATTCTTTATCAGAGTTATAGATCGGAGTTCGTGAATTGGCAATGCACGTAAAAAAATAAAGAACGCCATTTTGACATCTCCGTTAGTTATAAACTGAATTGCATGAAATTCAATATGGGCATAGTCGAGTGCATTATAGTTTTAGCCATATAATACGCAATGCCAAAAGTTGGGCCTAATCAATTCTACATTCACAGTGCCCTTTTTGAATTGCAAAATACGTTTTTAATAAGAGGGCCTAAAACCAAGATTCCACAGGATTGGAAAAAATTCCTTGCTAATGGCAAAAATAAGGAACAACTGGTTAACCTGCTACATAATGAATGGGCTCAGCACAAATATGTCCACTACTTACATGGGAGGAATCTTTACTTTTCACATAGTAATAAGAGTGCACTTGCTTTACTAGTGAAGACGGATTAACTTGTTGTAAAAGTTGTCCGTGAAATCTAAATTGGAAAAGTTTTCAAAGTTTGTACCTATCCTTACATCATTAGGAGAATCACCGACAATTACAGGCACGTTACTGACCGGCCTGGAAGAATTCGTCTGTTGCTTGTACAGTAATAAGGAATACACAGATATAAACAAACTACGGTTTGATTTTGTTTTCACAAAAGTATTGTCCCACAACTACATTTTCTCTGCCCAACAATAAAGGTGTGGATTTAAGTCTACTTCCCCCATGCAAAACGTCATTAGAAAACCACATAAAACGTGTCAACTACCAATGTTACGTATGGAATAACGCACATGTAGCTAAACCCTCCACACCAACTCCAGTAGGACATGGGTGGAAGTTGGAGAATGGTGAGCTTATGTTTGATTGGATTAAAGGAGATCAGTTGCCTCCCGAACTGCTTGACGTTCCAGAAAGCTTTGAACTGGATGAATTTGAAGATGAAGATGAACCAGAAGTACTAAACTTAGACGACTTAATACACGAGGAGGAAGAAAATGACAGTTGATTACAAATGATACTATAAAATCATATGTTGTTAGTTGAACAAAATAAAAAATTCATTAATTTTTTTACATTTTTCAGTATTTCTTAATTTCCCCGAATATACTGTAATTTAAAAAGGGCAAACAATTGAATTCTTAATCTGGTAGGTAACGCCAACAAAAAAAAGTATAAGTCATAAATTCCCACAGGGGGGAGAGGGTTTCATATTGGTGGCTCGTGGTCTACAGGTTCAAAATTTGTTTTTTCACATGCTATATAGCCACTACCTATAGTAGTATTTCAAGTAGTATTAAATGGCATTAAATGTAAATTAATTACATTAACAAACTTAATAGCATTAACCACATTAAATTACATTAACTGAATTAACTTGAAATTAACTGCATTTACAGAATATATTAACTACATTAATAGTTAATTTTGATGCATTAACTACTATTTGTACACCGAATTAACTAAGTGGTTCACCCCTCGGTTCCCACCGACACAGTGCAGCGGCGCCACTTGCTACACTCGAATTGTTTATTTACCCCCCGCCAAGATACTGACTTTATTTACAAAAAATATGATTTCATTTTTTGGAGTAATGTTCAGAAGTAACTTATCTAGAAAACTGTCGGT